TTTTGGGCGATATTTTTTTTTTTTTTTTGTATTTTTCAATTGGAGACAATTTCTCACAATATTCCACACTTTAGAGAGATGGCATCAATGGAAGAAATATTCTACATAAAATTTCACTGGTAGTCACTGAACATGGGGAACCGCAAGCTATAATATAAAACCAGAAAAATCCATAAAGCTTCGGCTAAATAGTGAATAGCATATTTTGGGCGATATTTTTTAGTATTTTTCAATTTAGAAAGATGGAATCAATGGAAGAAATAATCGCCATAAAATTTTACTTTAGGTCACCAAACATAAGAAATCGCTAGCTAGAATATATAACCCAAAAAATAATAGAAGTAATTTGGTTATATATAGTGAATATCACATTTTTGGGAGATATTTTTTAGTATTTTTCAATTGATGCCGATTTCTCACAAAACTCTACACTTTAGCGTGCTACTATCAATGAAAGAAATATTCCCCATAAAATTTCACTATAGGTCACCAAACATAAGAAATCGGTAGATATAATATATAACCTACAAAAATAACTTAAAATGCCGATTTCTCACAAAACTCTACACTTTAGCGTGCTACTATCAACGAAAGAAATATTCTCCATAAAATTTCACTATAGGTCACCAAACATAAGAAATCGGTAGATATAATATATAACCTACAAAAATAACTTAAAATTTGGCTATATAGTTAGTAGCATCCTTTGGTGGGTATTTTCCAATTGGGGTCTATTTCTCCTACCCTCCTACCCTTTATATATAGTTAGTAGCATCCTTTGGTGGGTATTTTCCAATTGGGGTCTATTTCTCCTACCCCTTAGAGAGATGATATCAATAAAAGAAATATTCCTCATAAAATTGTTTAAAGAATATTTTTTCCTACCTCTACCTTTAGGCGTGGATTTTTTAAAAAATATTTTTCCCACCTCCACCTCTAGGCGTGGATTTTTTAAAGAATATTTTTTCCCACCTCCACCTCTAGGCGTGGATTTTTTAAAGAATATTTTTTCCCACCTCCACCTCTAGGCGTGGATTTTTTAAAGAACATTTTTTCATACCTCCACCTCTAGGTGTGGATTTTTTAAGGAATATTTTGGATTTTTTAAAGAATATTTTTTCCAAATACCTATAGGCGGTGATTTTTTTTAAAGAATATTTTCCAAAATCTTTATTTTTTCTTAGTTTCCCAAATACTGCCAACTAGTGACTTGAAAACCTTGTTCCTGATCCCGACCATAACGCAAAAAGATAGCCGTGACACGCGCGGACGATTTATATATGTTATCTAATGCGATCCCTAGAAACAGTCTAATTATAGATCAGAATTATGGATCTCAAATCATCCCGATATATGTTAAGAAGCCTTGGCGGCGAAATTAAAGAGGTGCATCGTATTGTGCGGGCTTGTACTACATGCTGGGAAGACATTCGGCTCATTGTCATCAATTCGCCCGACTACATCATTTTCAATGCTATTCTGATATACTCGATAGGTTTTTTGATCTGAAGGCACTCTTTCTTGTCATTAGACCTGTCACTTTAGATCATGCAGATCCCTCCCTACACGCCTTGTGTTTGGTTTGGATGTGATCACTTTGAAGCAGCGAATTCCTATCGCTATGCTGTGTCATAGGTAGGTACCCTGTTGCAGTTCTCATACTGTTATTCTGACATATCCGACCGTACAATTTTCTGTGTTGCTTACGGAACCCATGATGTTGATCAGCAACTGGATACTTTTACCCTGGGAAAGAGTAATGTCTCAAGAAGTTTCCCTACTGGCGACAAAAGTGAGACCGGCCTTTATGATTTACTTTTCCTTGTATCCGTGCCTGACTTAATCATTGGGGCCACCCTGCCCATTGTCCTGGTAATGATATGGATAGCTATAGAAAGGTTGGCAAAACTCCTGGCACAGTCAACATTTTCAATATTAGCATCCATACTCCTTCAGGGACCAACGCTTTAGATGATTTAGCGCTACGGCTACGGACTCTTGCAAAATCTCCCATTGTAAACTGTGATGGTACCTACTCGGCCGAAAGAGATCTTATATCACATAAGATCGTAATACATACTCTTCTTGTCGCCCTCTAACTTTCGGAATTCTCCGTAAACTGCCGGTTAAAATAACTGGCACATCTCTTCAGATCCAATCTCAGTTTCGTCGATAAATGTAACTTAGGTCCTATTATCATTCTTATCAAGATTCGAGAACGACTTAACCGTTGCCCACAGTTTACTCATACTGGCGCGTCTTCTTGAATCATTTACAGTTTTGTCGTTAAATGTGACTGAGGTCATATCATCCTTCTTACCAGGCTTCAACAGCGATTTAACCGTTGCCCAAAGTTTACTCCCACCTCTCTTAATGATGCAACACTTCAGATGCTCTATCCATTTATTACCCTTATGCTTCGCGATTAATCTGCTGACCTCCAATGTGAATTCCCTGACCCTGTTATCTGCTGGATGAGATCGACGAAGCTCATTACGCTTATTCGATAGTCCAACTGACTCTGTTGGGAAATTAGGTCTTATCTCGGGTATTCGAACATCAGAATAAATTCTAGTACTGCAATGATACCCTGTAATTTGCTTTTCTCCCACCCGTAATCAGAGGAATTGGAAGGGTTGGTGAACTCAGTAAAACCCTGACTTAAACGTTGCCCACTGTTTACTCATACCGGTACTAATGTTGCAACAAGTCAGATGCTTTAACCATTTATTACGCTTATTAATCTACTAACATCCAAGATGAATACCCTAACTCTGGAATTTACTGGGTTAGATCGATGGAGCTAATCGGAAAATAGGAATAATCTTGCTAATTCGACTAGCATGTATATATGTACCCTGCAACTGAATTGATATTTCGGAAACAAACACGAAACAATGGATTGATGAATTCTCTGAAACCCCACAACGATTTCAATTCTGCATCAATCGATCAATCGGCAGACATTAAAATAACTGGCAGATCTCCTCGTATCAGTTACAGTTTCGTCTTTAGAAGTTGCGGAGGTCAAATCATGCTTTTTACCAGGGTTCGAGGGCAACTTTACCGTTGCCCAAAGTATACTCACACCGATTTCAATGTTGCAACACTTCAGTTGCTCTAACCATTTATTCCGCATATGCTCCGTGACTAATTTGATGACCTAAAACGGTAGTGCACCGATCCAGATATCTGCTAGGTTAGATCGAATGAGCCTATGCTTCGCGACTAATAGGCAGGTGTTAAAATGACTGGCAGATTTCGTATCAGTTACAGTTTCGTCCTTAAAAGTGACGAAGGTCCTATCATCCTTTTTACCAGGGTTCCAGAGCGACTAAAACGTTGACCCTAATTTACTCACACCGTTTTCAATGTTGCAACACTTCAGATGATCTAACCATTTATTCCGCATATCGACTAATTTGCTGGCCTAAAAAGTAGTACCCTGATCCTGATATCTGCTGGGTTAGATCGAAGGAGCTTATACTTCGAGACTAATAGGCAGGCATTAAAATAACTGGTAGTGACGAAGGTCCTACCATCCTTTTTACCAGGGTTCGAGATCGACTTAACCGTTGCCCAAAGCTTACTCACACTGTTTAAATGTTGCAACACTTAAGATGCTCTAACCATTTATTCCGCATATGCTATGCGACTAATCTGCTGACATCCAAGGTGAGTTTACTGACCCTGGAATCTGGTTGGATAGATGGACGAAGTTAATCTCGTTCATTTGCTACACCAACTACCTCTGCCGTGAAATTAAGTTTCATCTTGGGAATTCTACCAGCAGGAATATATCAGGGGACTGCAATGACATCTCGGAACTTCCTTTCTTTACCCGTACATCAAAAGGAATGGAAAGATATTTGAAACAATTGTTGGTGAACTCACTGAAACCCTTGGCTTTCAGTAGGGGTCTGCCGATGCAAACAATTATGGGTAGGTTGTCTGATCCAAGTGAAATGATAGGATGTCAATTGACGTAATTTATCAAACTGGGTGACACGAAGGTTAACCCTGGCATTCTCATTCACCGTGTAAAATGTGGAGCTATCAATTTGCTCTGACAGCAATAGGAATTAGAATCATCTCGGGATGTTGCTGCTATGATAACCCGAATTTTCCTTTTGGCAACCCGTTCGTAAGGGAAAAAATGGAAAGTTGTCTGAAAAATGGTTGGTGAAATCTCCGAATCCCTGAGAGTTGGCTTGTCTATGAATAAGGAAAGTGCGGTGAGCAGAGAGGATGAAATTAGGCGGGGTCTGCTGGTGCAGAAAATTATCGGTAGGTCATCAGATACAAGTGAAATGATTGGTTGCTAGAGTTGACATAATTTATCGAAACGGGTGACACGATAATTATGTCTGGCGGGACTGTTTCAATTCGGTAATTACCTAGAATGGAATACCATAATATATAATATATGGTGAGCATTGAAGTCCCCTAATACCAGGCCGTTGATTGTCCTCCAATAGAATGACAATGTTAGGCAAATAATGCGGTTCACAGCTACTAATCGTTATACGTTAAGCACCTCCACCTCGGCGGTACCACATTTAACGGCTATCCTTCATACATTTCATTTATGGATCACAAGAGTTCAGCTCAAGCGAGATAGCCCAGCTTTGAATAGGGTGGTACATTAGGAATGCATCAATCTATTACGTCTTAATATATATTTTACAGCGGAGAACGACCGACCATTTCGATAGGTTGTTAGGTACTAATTTTATTTCAATATCCATTTACTTAATTGTAGCGATATAGTAGAATGCTTAGCCAACACATTGCAGTTCGAATCTATAAACTCTTGGTTCTCATAATATGATTTTATCTTTTCGGGGTTTCCCTCCAAGACTCAGAAGATTCTTATCGTAAAACCCTTAACGACCAAATCTTATGAAAATACCAAACAAAAAATCTGTTCAAAGTATTTCGTAAACTAAAACCTAATAAAAATGAGGTTATATACAAAGTAAAAATTTGGTTCTACTTACTTGAACTATTCACCATATTTGCGCCAGCACCCGCAGACGAATTTCCTGCCGTCGACATATGACCCTTATCCATTTCATGAACTTTCGGGGAGGAAGCTTCGATTTTCACCAATGTTGTCAATGTCGATGAGGACATTGTTTTTGCAGCCGATGTCAGAGAGCCAATTGCATGGGGATGGTGCTGATGGTGGTGGTGTTGCTGCTGCTGATGATGCTGTTGATGATTATTTGATGTGGTCACTTCCGAAACTTGACAAGGTTCACGTTTAATCTGTACAAAGGTATACGAAGATGATGAGGTGGAAGAGGAGGCGGCGGCTGCAGCACCAATATTGGCAGCATGTGGTGAACTGAAAGCAACCGGTGAAGAGGTAACAAAATGTGGCGAAGCAGCAGCTGCCGTTAAGAAAGTCGAGGTATCTAGTGGTGCCACCAGTCCCGATGAAGTAACTGGAACTAGAAATGTTGTAGTTGTGGAGGAACTAGAACGTTCGAAATGTTGCTGGGCAGCCGCAGCAGCAGAAGTGTGGTGCAACGGCGGCGGATGATGGCCCGTGGAAAACGGCGAATGATGATTTGAGGCATGTGATTGAGTATTGGAGCCGCCGGCTGCACCACCCAATGTTGTTGAGTTCAGAACATCAGCCGCAGCACCATTGGAATGATGAATTGCGCCTGAGTGATGATGATGATGGTGTGGATGTTGTTGTGGCTGATGTTGTTGGGAGGAGCTGGATTGTGAACTGGTATTAAATGATGCCATTTAAATTTGATTGACACCTGATGTGTTTTGAAAAGCTAGGCTTTAATTTTCTGTTGATGATTGCTTAGATTTTTTTGCTTTCTTTAAAAGGGGATTTTTTTTGTTTTGCGTCACAGAGATTTTTTTGATTTTTTTAATTTGAATGCATTGGCATTTCCATTTTTTGCAAATTGGTATTTATTTTGTTTTAGATTTTAAGGAACGTATTTTTCATTATTATTTTAGTTGAATTTCCATTGTCACCCTTCTTTAGGGGATCTTTGTTGCGGGAGTATTTCTTTCTAAGTCTCCGGGTTTTACATATTTTTTAGCTATAAGAGTAGAGGTATTTTGTTTTATTTTTTGAGAATCGATAAGTAACAAGTGGTACGATAAATTTCTATTTAGATATGTGGCAAATTTTTCGAAAAAAAAATATTTTCCAAATTAATACACCTTTGGGAATTGAAGAGTATGGAAGTGGGACTTTTCATTGAAGAACTGGGAACTGAAACTTCACTTCGATCGCTAAATCACAAAATTTTAAGTTCTAACTCTGGACTAAAAGTACAAAATTTCCCGACGCTTACACCTCTAATTAATGAAGACATGAGAGTAGTCTTAGCTGATCATGTGTCATATTGGTCACAGTCCATATGATGGACACGTGTTACATATTGGCCTTCCAATTCCTGCTCAATACGAATTGGGGCGGTTGCACCACCCTTATTTTAGCAGTGCTAAAACTAGTCGTGTTCATCTGGTCAGCTATTCTACTGCCTAGGCGACTTTATCTTCAAAAAAAATCTATTTAGACCTGCTATCTAGACCCTGAAGATCTCTCCTAGATGTACCAGGATGGGGGAAGTCTGCCCCAATAGACTATGGCAGAAGTTTTCCCGTCAAAACACACAAACTCGGTACTGAATTACCAATTAGGTTTCATCTCGAGATCTCGATCAGCAGATATAAATCTAGCGTCTGCAGATGTAATAGTATCATGGAATTTCATTTCTGCTATCCGTACATCAGAACATATGGAAAGTTCTCTCAAATGATGGTTGGTTACCTTCGTAAACAGAGTGAGAGGCAAAGTCGGTGAATCGCCTCACAAACATGGACAACTCGGGGGTTAGAACCTGGTAGGTTTTTAAAAAGTGTTTGTTCTCGGATCATAGGATGATGATACTATTCCAGAGCAACGCTGAAGCCTAATAGGAACACTCGGAAGACGAACTGGAATAATTTCAAAGCTAAAACAACATCGCTATCCAATGTTCATAACTATCTCAAAATGATTGAGGATCTTGAGAAAGCGGTGAACGAGGTTACTCGACCTCTTCTGAGGAGCTATAAAGCTTCCTTTCCTTAACATACCCAGGGAGGAAATCTCAATTCAATAGGTACACAAGTGAAATCGTGAAGGCTAAATGTAGGTCTTGGATTTGCTAAAGTGAATCAATATCTAAAGATCCTAAATTAATAGGTAATATTAAGTGAACTAATGGAACGTGGACCTACCCTGGGAGAGAGTATTTTGATATTTTATCTTCGACCCACTTGCCGATGTGCAAGATGTGTGGCGATGTGCAACCAACAAGTCGACATATGATTCGAACGGAGGAGGATGAGAAGCTGATAGTAGATAAGGCTGTTAATAGCTTCCAGCCCTGCAAATCCCTTGGGCCAGATGACATAATACCGGTCATGTTGCAGTATGCAGATGATCGTGTATTGGACACACTACAAGTGATGTTTAAGACTTGCATGAAATTATCGTACATACCAAGTCTATGGAAAGAGCTGACTATAGACCGATTAGCCTTTTTTCTTTTCTACCCAATACACTAGAGAAAGGTTACTAGTAGACATCGAAATTACAAACTCCTTCGAATAGGATATGCAAAATCCAACTCGTCTACATCCAGTCGATGAGTAGGTGGAATGTTTCGATGTGTTTTTCACGGCTTTTTTCCAGGATTTGGCGCATTTAACAGACCCATCCGCTCATAGTTGTTTAAAGCAAAGGCATATAAAAGTGAGCCTACTAATGGTTCGCGCAAAAAGGGAAGACCAAGAATAAAATGGAAAGATCATGTGGAAAAACAGCGCTTAATATCGACGGACCTGGAAATCTTTTCTTAGCTCGGTTTATGGAACAAATATTATCTCTCGAGTCAGCTAAGTAAGTAAGGTGAAATTTGATTATCATAAGATAACGATTGTAGTCTATGTCGATGATGTTGTCTTGATAATCGGCGGAAAATTTCTGCCGACAATTTCCGATATAACGCAGGATGTCTTTACTGGGCCCAGGCCGATGATAATTGGGTAAACACCACGAAGATAGAAATGGTATACTTTACTAAGAAACGTAAGATCCCAAACTTCCGCCTCCCATATTTGGGTAAAGTAGCCATAAACCTTTCCTTAGAAGCAAAAGGCCCCGGAAGACTGCTTCGACCACAAGCTAACATGGAAAGTTGAGGAGCGTGCTAAGAAAGGTCTAATAGCACTCTACTCTTTCAAATCTCTAACGGTTAAATTCCAGGCATCGATGTGTGTATTCTGAGAATCCGAAAAACGGAGACGTGGAGAATGTCGGCAACTTTAGTATCCTCAAACGATTTCAAATTGTGACTTAGATCGGAACACTCACATCAGTGACTATTATTCCTAAAAAGGAATCCTGTGCAGTGCCTATTTACCACTGGCTGTACTGACGATATATACAGACGGGTCGAAAATTGAGGAAGGCACTGATGATTAACTGCAAGCAATTAGCTATAAATATAAATATTTCTGTAGCATTTTTCAATTAGTAAAGAAAGCGGCTCAAGGATATTAAGTCGAGTACTAAAAATTCAAAAGAGTTTCTTGACTGTGCTCTAAGTAAATCAATAGAATGAGTAAACGAATCGGATCGAGGGAGATCGCAGTTGTCGGTCTATTGATTGAGGGATCTGTACGACCTCCAATTGGCTATTTCATTAGCGTAATCCGGAAGAGATACATCGAGGAAGTCTGCAGCATATGGCCAGCGGATGCGGGATTTATCTAGAGTGAGTCCAGACATGCTAAACTAACCAACAAATCTCCACTCTGCCAAGAAGCCTACCATTCCACACATAATGATACATTAGTATCCGTTATGAATTTATTATCAATACAATATGACCTTGTGGGTGTTAACTATCGTGTGTCTAGTTACTTCCTTGGTAAATGTATACTTTCAGAATCTGGCAGATATTTTCCCAATTATCTGTTCAGAGTAAAAAATCGACCGTTCTCATGATTTCGATCAGGTGCAGATACATTTATCCCTTCAGTTATGGACTTGTAGGAATTTATTACCCTATGCCTGACACTTTTCCCGATATGAAAATATTTTCTTGTCAATTTTTTTTTTAGTTCAGAGTAAAAAATCCGACATTTTAAATGTTTTTTAATGGTGATATTTGCTTGGAAATAAATTTACAATACGATCTTAGGGTCGAAGTAAAAATTGGGATTTTTTTTAATTCTGTGTCCGATTTTTTTTTCAGTAACGATTATACTCCCAATTCAACTGGGGATTTGAGCCTACAACTTACAAATTATTTGGATCTGTATTATTCCACTAATTGAAACCAAAAAAAAATCTCCTCATTTTCGGTATACAAAGTAGATAAGCATAAACCTAGCAATCTCATATCAATTGACGTTTATTTTTGTTCTTATCGGGTTTTCAAAAATAAAATTTAGCAAGCCTACATTTTCATTGTTTTTATCAATTTCAAAAGAAAATAACCTACTTTAAAAAAATATCTTTAGATTTTTATCTAGAAAAATATAGGTATATGACCCATCAGCTGTTATGAAAAAAATAGCATTGTCAGATGCCGGTGATAAGGAATGGGTTATAATCAGATAACAAACACATTAGACATTTGGTCTGGATGTTGAGTCATATATATATATATATATATATATATTTAACTCTAAAAATTGGTAAATTGAAAAAGTATATAAAGAAAATCAATTCTAAAGTGGCATATTTCAGATTATAGCATTTTTGAGAAAATTACACTTTCATAAATTTTGATACCACATCTTAAAAACTCTTTAAATCAGCCGGTAGATTGCGCAAAGATGGCTATTACTATTAAATGAAAAATTCTTCGAAAAAATTCACACATAAAAATCGAAATTGCTCTTCACAGTACAAATGTTTGAAATGTGATCGACTTATACACTTATACATTGTAATTAGCACAATCCAGGCCTGTGTTAACAATGTTTGAAAAATTTTATATGTGATATTTTTAATCTGGCTGCTATTATCAACATATACATATTAGGTCAAGGCAATCTCATTGATATCAATTATAATCGAATGGTTTTAAACATGTAGTGGGCAAGCCCATTTTTTTAGATGCTGACAAAAGCTTTGACGACGAGCTCGAGGATTTTTTTTTTTAATTTTTATACCCTACACAACTATGTTGTTAGGGTGTTATAGCTTTGTAGGTTATAAAAATGGACTCAAAACATTATTTTTGTGTGTTTTACTGACAGCTCCAGAGAACACAATAATGACCTTAACATCACGAAATTTTGAACTGAAAAAGGGATTTGCCCATGAAACAATCGTGGTCCTTTTTAGGTGATATTTAGGGCATGAAATGGACTAAAACATAGTTTTGACTGTTTTTCTAGTCGCTCTGTTCATTCTAATTAATTTGACCAATTATTTAGAATACCTACTCCGAAAATGATTAGTCAATATTTAGCGGATCAAAAGAACCAATAATTTTGTTTACCTCGTGAAAACATAAATTAAAAGAGATGTCAAGATGGTGAGAAACTGGTTGCAAATATCGCGAAATATTGCCCAGGCTCGAATATAGATACGCAGAGCGTTTCACAGATCTATACGTAGATCTCAAACATTCTTATGAAAGATGTCACATGAATTATGATCGAAATAAACGCTATTATGCTCAGCCAAATATTCCTGTAAATATCCGCATTTTGCGCCC